ATTGTTGATACTGTATTCGACATATAACTTCAGATAGTATATTTTGATTATACTAATATCCCGATATTTGGTGTAATGTAAGTTGACCCCGAAACCTTCCTACCTAGAGCCACAATAAACTTGTTTATATTTAGCCTTTAACAATTAATATTGTAATTGTCCTATTAGGTATTAACGTCAATAGATTTACTTGTCTAAGAGATTAAACTTGAAAAATTAGTTACAAATTAAAGACTTTTCTGTTTGAAGTAGTAATTCTGTGTTGGATCTTTCTTATTATACTTTTACTTATACTCTTATTTGCGCTTTCAGACTTTTATGAAATGCTGGCTTCACAGCCTAATGTCACATTACAGCCTCTCCCTCCTTGTTCCTCGTCTCCGAGTGACTTTTTTTCGCCAACCCCATCTTCACTACCAACTTCATGCCAATCGATGCCTCTCAATTTAGTTGGTCCCGAGGCTGAATTTTTGAATGGCGATTCGGTGACTACCTTAGCTGGCCCAATCGCCGACCCCATACGACACAAGTTTTCACTGTAAGTTCTATTAAAATCAAAATCTTTCTAGTTCTTTACACCTTCAAGGAAATATTTTTTCAAAGTTAGTAATTTTATTTGTATTCATGATCTATAGCATGATCGTTTATGTTGATCATACTGCCTTTAGGGATGACCTATATAATTAAGGTAACCTTAAAGGCTTACTACAATTTCATTATCTTGATATATATTGCTCAACGCTTTTGTGATAGTGCCGTTATATTTTGAAATGAAAGAAATCATAAATCACATAGTTTTATTGTCATATGATCGATGAATCTTGTGCAGAGGTAAGCTTTTCTGATGTGACTGGCCACCTTCTAGATTTAGTGATTATAATTATTTAGAATTATATTTTAACTTTTTGTTTTAAGTTTAGTGTATTTTAACTTATAACAAAATTTATGAGCTGAGAATTCATTTTGATTAGGTAGATCTCGAATTATAACCGTATTTACCATTGGTCACATAGGCTGACTAAAGACTAATTAGTTTTGCATATTTTGAGAAATTATATTCGCAGAACTACCCCTATTATTTAAAGGAGCAGAGGTTA